CACACATTCTGTTAACATTTCCAGCATATGTACCAACATCCTCATCATCACACTTTACCATATTCAAACACGAGAAACGAGTATGAAACAAACTCGCCAAAAATACTAGATAAACAGTTTCTTCGAAAGAAATGTCACCAGTTTTTCTTGGAAGGACAAAATTTGTATACTTATTATTTTCATCTGTACCCAAATTTGTAAAAGTAAACTCAGTTTTTGTTCATCAGTCCAACCTTCACATTTTTTTAAAAATATTGTTTCAAATCTTCTGAAATACGCAGGAAATGTTATGCCCTCCTCTGGGTTAAATTTAAACTCAGTAATAGAATTAGCAATACCTTTGGCCGTGAATGACGAATTTACTGGATTCTTAAGTAAAATCGCTTCATATAAAGCCTTTGTGTCATTTCGCTGCTGAACTTGTAAATCCAATAGTTGTTCCTGAAACAATTTTTGTTGCTCTTGTTGCCGAATTTGACTTTGCACTAGAGTTTTCGTTAATGCAATCAAATCTTCCATTATGCGTAATAGATTACACAAAACACTTTTCGAAAACAGACAAAAAAGGAAAAACACGTATATATCCACAATAAGCACAAGTCTTACTTCTTTTTAGCATGTTGAAATCCCATTTCTTCGTGAAGAACAAAGTTCAACGTATTTTTTTTTTTTTTTTTTTTCAGAGCGAGAAAAAAAAAAAAATTTATATAGTCCATCTAGAGTTGAAAAATTCTCCACTCAGCGTGATGAACGAATCTCTCGTCGCCACTGTTATGATGTTGATTTGGGGTTAGTAGAGACAAACACCAAATAACACGTAACAATAAAAAGGGGTTTTAATAGGTTGGTAAAAAGGTACAGAAATCGCCTGAGTAGTCAATAACTAGCTCAGCTAAGAACTTCTCTGTCTATCTGTCTTCTGACATGCCACTATTTAAAGTCTTTGTTCGCAGACAAGTTCATCTTCAAGAGGGGTGGTAGGTTTCCGACACAACAAAAAGGGAATAAGAAAACTCCAGTCTGACATTTAATATTGTGCTGTCAAAAGTTTGAAACAGGTGCTGTAGTTGTCCTGTTTCCTTGTTTTATACAAATTGTCAAATAACTATTAGTCAGCCAATATTTTTTTTTCATTTTAAACAGTATCAATGAAGCTGAAGCACAATTTTGCTTGAAAAAATTTTTCTTTTTAAGATGTGATAAAAAAGTTTGGAACAGTATTCTTATGTGTGCACATACAAAAGAAGACATGCACATTTTCCAATGGGTGTAAAAAAAAAAGAAAAGAAAAAAAGAAGACCTTTACAAAAGTAATTTTTTTGTTTAATTTTTACTAAAATGTTAAAAGGCTTTAGTAAAATAGTTTGAAATGTATTTTTTAGTACAAACGCTTTGACAAAATAATTTTCTTTTCTTTTTTTTTTTTCAGGATTGCTGAAAAAACTATTTGTATAATAAAATCATAACTACTTTAATGATAAAAGTTGGTAATGTTGCGGTTTCTTGTTTTCTCCACTGATTTATATTCTGAGTACTCCATGTCTTGGATTGACTAGAGAGCCCAGTCTATACTGCTTTTTAACCCATGGCTAGGTAGAAGGAGAGGAGAGATGAATTCATGCCTTCCCCAAAAACATTGGGGTGAAAGGAAATGCCAATATGAAAATAGCTTACCAATTCCATTTCTCACACTGATAATAGTTTGTTACTTGCACAGTCTAAAAAGATGACACAAGCAACCTAAACATTTTCCAGTGGACTTTCTTGCACTGATTCATTGGCCCTGTCTGACATTAGTTTTTTTAAAAGAAAATTGCTTTTTTTCTGTTAAGGAATCATTATGTTCACCAAATATATATTTCAAATTGTAGCCCCACATCTGTTTACTGAAATACTTCAAATATAAACAAAATGCCTTACAGAAATTAATATTTATAAGTAATAGTCTTAATGATAGAAAACAGCATTGTAAATTACAAAAAATACAACAGATATTTGTAGAATATAATTTTTGTTGAGATATATTTTAAATCTATAGTAAAACTTTACATCTAAGACAAAATTAAGCTTATCTGGAGAAATGCCTCCCACCTACATTGGAAGAATTTTTACAACAACTTCTATAGACTGAAGGTTGGATCAAAGATGTAGACTCGGAACAATTTGCTGAAATTGAAACCCCAACAAAATGGAAACAACTAAAGATACCAATCAATGTACTTCAGTTACATGGCTGATCAGGGATTTTGAGCAGCAATGTCTTGATTGGTAATTTAAGGTCTTTTTGTAGGTTTAGCTACCTTTTTCACTTACAAAATACAAAGTAAAATAAAATAGAATTGACCAAAGAAATTTCACACAAAATGAAAGATTTCTATAAACTAAGATGCAAAACCAGTTTCTCATTTCACTTGAATAACAGCATAATCTATAAGGTGCTGGAGTTATTGTGTGGGCATATTTATTCAGGTACATTTCAGAGCTGTTCATAATTTGTGTTGTGCTTGTTGGGTGTAGTTTTATGGTATTTAGTGACATCTGCCATACATTCCATACATGCCCAATGGCATTTAAGTCTGGTGAATACTGGGGCCAATGAAATAGTTGGAAGTGTTCCTGGAACCAGTTTTGTATTACTTGTCTACAAAATGGTTATTGTTTTATTTTGCTGGAACATGCCATTATAACTGACAAATAGAAAGTAATACAAATGGTTTGCAACAAGATCTGTGTATGTCATATTTATCAAGATAGAACCCAGTTTCACTAGTGACTCCCTTCAATTCCATCAAAAACCATCATACACTGGAACAGAGCCATTTTAAACTTGCACAGCACTTTGCTCATAGACTGGATCTATAGCCTTATATGATTACCTCTGCACATGAACTCAACTACCTGTCTCAAAAAGTGTGGCTAGTTTGACTAGGTGACATAACACCAGTCCTCTAAGATCCAATTATAATTTTCTCTGACCAAGAGGATCTAAAATAAATATGCTGTAGTATCAATAAGGATACCCTGTATAATAATAATATATAGATTTGTTTGGATTCATATGCTTATCTTGGTTGTTATCTTCACAATGTTTCAATTGTTATATCATTTGGCCTTCTTCAGGTGTGATACAACCTGCTGTAAATATGAAAGCAAACCCTGTATTCAGCCTATAGGAGTTGATCGGCTCCCTACTGCAGTTTATACTAATTCTATTTATTTTTTAATTTTGTCTTTATGATACCCCTTGTTACTTCCATTGAACCAGATAATATAACTTTTAAACTACCCAACACAGGATTTACTAACATCATTCCATAAAGGTTGGTCAAAAAAATTCACAAGATCTGTGATTCATACAAGAAGACAATATTTAAAAACACGTTCCACATTTCAGAGACATTTCTTCCAAACCAAACCTCTTTCAGAATAGTATATTTTCTGTTCTTTGCAATTGTAGCAGAGAATACAAAAGTTAGACAAGCTATACTCTAAAAATAAGGCTGTAAGAATGTAGAATAGCCATAATTGGGGGAGGGATGTTGAAATCAGATATGGCAGATCATGTGTGTGGAAAGGGGATCTCCATTCCCTATGGAACAAATTCTGAATGACATTGGAAAATAAGGCAATTGAAAGAATCTGTGCACACACTTGGTCCTCATAACCTCATCAGTAGGCTTGGTATAGAAATAAACACCTTAAAGGAACCTTTAATTAAGAACATTAGACCTGAAACTCAAAAATTCTATTATCTAATTACACAACTGGTAGTGTAAAGTTAAATAGTTTGTTTCAGTTGAAGAGGAAGATAGATGTGTGACACCAGTATTGAATTGAAATATGATTGGATGCAGTGTTCCCTTTTGTTGGGTGGTTATCATCTTTATCAGTCACCAGCAGGTTCTGTTCTTGTCACCCACAGTTTCCATATGCCATGTATGTCTGTCCAGAATTAATATACTCTTGCACTTATTGTTCAAGAAAAATCTAGAGCAGTTTACCACTTAGGAGTACCCAGACTTTTTGGCCCCAGCAATCATTCTGTAGTCAAACAGTAAGCATTCTGAGGTTGTCACAACTACACCACTAATTTGCCTAGTATATTATACACATACATCATCTGACTGTTCATTTCTACAAGAGAGAAGCAAGGCAAAACCATACAGTGTACAGTTGTCTTTAATTTTTTGGCACTTCAGTTTATATTAGATAAAAAACATTTTTTGGCACTTCAGTTTATATTAGATAAAAAACATTTTTTGGCACTTCAGTTTATATTAGATAAAAAACAAAATAAGAATGTTTTGTTTTTAAGATTAATCTATGATTTACTTTGAATTATTTTTTTATGAAAACAAAACTAAATTGTTTGTACACCTGGTCCTCTCAGTCACAATCCATCCTTATTAATTATTCACATATATATTGAATAGTAGACTATTTCAGTGAATAGCTGTACCCATCATTTTCAACAGTAGTTTTATTGATTTTTTTCTTGATTATTGTACATTTTTCCCGGGTTAAACATGAAAAGTAAATAGTGTCAATTGTGTATTTTATATTCAGCTTTGATTTTTACCAAAATAAAGTCTGCAAACAATTTCACAGAGAAACAATAAAGAGATGAATCACCAATAAAAAAGCAACTTCTACATAAATCTAATAAATATATAAGCAAAAGATAATTCTTAGACAATCCTATCTATTTCATTGCCAAATACTTTCTTTTGAACATGGTGTATCAATTGAATTTCCATCAGTAATTGATGAATGTACTGACACTCACTGATAAATGTTTTTAATTACAAAATTATTACAACAAATACTGATATCATCTGTTAGAACAGAATATCATTATTTAAATAACTCTGAAAAATATTCCCATTAAATTAATTTTTCAAAAACTTTTTTTTGTTCTATCCAAAAAATGCTTCACAGATATCAAATTTTTGCTTGTTTTTATGATATAACATTAACCACATTTTTTTTATTTATTGTAGGTTGGCGATAAACTTCCAAGTTCAACATTGTTTGAACACAATCCTGGAGAAAAGTTTGTTACAACAGAATTGTTTAGCAAAGGGAAACATATCATTTTTGGAGTCCCAGGAGCATTTACACCTGGTTGTTCACAGGTAAATAAATGATAAAATGAATCACTTGGCAAAAAGCAAGAACTTCTTGTAGCATTAACAAAAAAGACAATTGATACAACAAAATTATGATGATGATTATGATCATGATGACAAAGAAGCAAAAGAATAAATATTTTAAAAATCATTGAAGTAAACTTTTTTATAGATTTATATAGAATGTGCCAAAAGGGATTTACATAATGGATAAAAATGTTAATTTCTAAGGTTAATAGCATATAAGACCTCTTCACATTTATAAATAGTATTTATAGAGTTAGGATAAGTACAAGTACTTCTAATCTACAACTGTTGGAGGTTAATTTTCACTGGGTGCTTGATAGAAAATTTGATATTAAATAACCCAACAAAATTTGACATCTTAAGTTGGTTGATTGTTCTTACAATCAACCAACCTAACCTAACAATCTACAATATTTGCATTAATCTCTAAGCATATAAGACCCAGGAAAGATGCCATAAAGCATTTTGGGGTAGGGAATACCAACAGAGGGAGGTCCTATATGTCATCAAATGTGGTATATATAAACATTAACAAAAATTAACTTCTTTAAAAAAAATCTCTTGACTATTATTCAGAATTAGTCAACTCTTGAATTTATAATTTATCTGAATTTCATTTTTTTCTTTCATTCTTCCAAAGACTCATTTGCCTGGTTACATTAAAAAATATGATGAGCTTACCAAAAAAGGCATACTGTCTATCGCTTGCATCTCTGTCAATGATCCATTTGTGATGGATGCATGGGGCAAAGTCCATAAAGCTGATGGAAAGGTAAATTCTTTTCTTTAATTGATTAAACAATACTTAATTTTTGTAATGAATTGTTGATATTCTACAACTTGTCTCATCATTGATGTGCTCTTCATTCTATTTTGATTAATTAATTCTTCAGCTTTTTTTTGGCATATAATTCACCTGTTGTGTTGGTTGTTGTTGTTATAGATTTTTCTAGATTTTGGCATCAATACTAATCCAGCAGTCAATCTGAAAATAAAAATCCAGCTCCATAATCATTGCAGATCAACACATATTTCATTTTATCGTTGTTTCCATCTCATCAAGGTCAGCACCAAAGCACCAAAAAGCGAATCACAGGGCCTTGATATTTTTCTCATTTCTTATTGGTCAGTTAATATTTAAATCATGTTCTCAACTACATCCGAATAACATCAACCTAGTTCCTGACCTGACAAAAAAATAATTCCACCCAAAATCTGTCAATGCCTTTCAGAGTCTATCATGTGATTACGCTGATTATAAATACCAGATACAAGTTCGTTCTTTCTCTCTTTTGATTTCTCTTGCTACTAAAATGTAGCTGTTAAAGAAATCACGTTTCGACCCCTCGCGGGCAGATGCCATGAAAACATTCATAGACACACACATATGCGTACATACAAAACTTAATTATGACCATTACAAGCAACAGAAACTTAATTACGGGACGTTCACTCCTTCAAATCTTCTGAAGCAAAAAGTAAATCAACACATATACGAACAAACACTTTTTCACAGTGAGACAAAAAAAAAAGTCAACCAGACACATCACTGTCATGCTAAAGAAATTTAACTTGGATTTTACAGTTTTTTCCAATTTTTCACCAGCAAGAAATTACTTAAAAAAAGGTTTTCTGAACTACAAGTTTACTAAACATATTTTCAGCTTTTCAGAAGACAATTCAAGAAACTTTTTCACTCAGTTCTATTCAGTGGAATTTACTCTTTGGTGAACATTTTCTTTTAGCGGCAAGATTTATTTTAATTATTTTCAGAAGTACAAAGTACCAAACAGAAACTTCTTGAAACATCAAGTAATAATATGAGTTCCTTTTTTACCAAACACATTCTCATAATATTCATATTACAGAATTTTTTCAACTCTCTCACAGTGACACTCACTGATAAATCACAAATGCATAGTTATAATGTTAACCTTTCTATGATAACCAATGTTTTTTGAGTGGCAAATTCATTCAACTTTTTATGAGCTCAGATAAAAATATTTCATTAGTAGACTTTAATTCCAGTCAAAGGGAAGTAACCCCTATGCTTGTACATCATTATATAAATATAAATATTGTTTTGTTATAAATCTGTTTTGTGTTCTTTCTTATTGTTTCATATTTTATGGTATTTTGCATTAAATATAAATTCTAATGCCGAAATTAAATTTTATCGAGAACAGCACCTCTACAATTGCTTTCCTTCCATCTACCAACATCAAGTACAGTAGCTGGCAGATTTCTCCCTCCTTAACTGAAAATTTCTGTGCTATTTATGTCTACAATGGCTGTCGATAATGTAGGGTATGTAAGCTAAAATTTGCACCTACTTCAGATAAAGGTTGGCAGTGAGGAAAATGAGTGGAGGAAAAAACGTATTTTCCAACCAGTCATTTTTTAGGTTCACTACACTTCTCAGCAGACAGACTTACATAACAATGTTGGATTTGTAACATCATTTTGACAGGTTAACATAAAAATTTTTATGAAGTTCGAGTTTACCAGAAAGTGAATCTATGATTAGTGGCTGAACAGAATAGGAATTGCTTAAGTAGGGTAAATTATAAGTGGTTGATTAATATATCAAAGTTACAAGGGAATGAATCTATACCTAGTGCCAGCTGGAATGAGAATTAAGTTGATGTGAATAAATGAGATAGCCAAACTAGGTAATTTGGATTTTGCTAGCATACCAGAAGTATCCTCGGGTTTGGTTTTTCTAGAGGGTTGTTGATGAATCAAAAAACATTTAATTAGAATAAATTGAATTAACACTTGGAAATGTCTAGGTTTGAACTTATGCCTTAATTTTATCAACTAAAGATTTTTTTCCCAGCCTAAGAAGGTTTTATTTGCAGAGTGGAAGAAATAGAGACCCGGTTTTGAAGACTAACATTTTCTACAAGTTTAGCTGGAGTTAGATTGTCTACAGCAATGCAGAATTGGGAATTGACAACTGTGACTCTCTACAAATAAACTTTATATTATTGTTTCTACAAAAAAAAATTGGTCACCTGTTTTGAAAGTTACTTCTCACTTTCTTTTTTTTTTTTCTAACTCACACCTAAAGGCAGTTCAACCAGATTTGCCTGTAGTACACATAATGACAACCTACCAACTGTTTATGCATTCATACTAAAGTAGGTACTGTTGTAAGTAATTCCCACAACCTGCTCCCCCTGTTTGGTGTAATGGACAGACTCCAGAAATGCTTATAAATAAGCTAGCTTAATTCTTTTCTTTTAGTAGCTGCATTAAGTTACAGTCAGCGCCGTCTGTCTAATTCTCTGCATTAGCAGGGAGGAACCCGGACGAAGCTTTGCCAAAGGGCAAGGTTTCGTTCGGGGAGGTAGACAGTTCTTCTAAATATTGTAGTTGTATTAAGTTGAATAAAGCTTTCCTAAGTTTATTCACTTCAGGTTATTCATTACAATTTATTCAACTTAAAATAATGGAACGATACCTCAAGTAAAATAAAAAATGAAAAAATTGCAAGATGGCGGATGGAACTCTCTTGTTATTCATTCGACATCTCCTATCGCCCTGGAAAGGAGAATGCTGCAGTTGATGCACTTTCAAGGGTGTGTGGTCTAACAACAAGCTGATCTTCAGAGCATACACCGAGAATTGTGCCACCCGGGCATCACAAGAATGACACATGTAGTCCGGAGCAGGAATTTACCATATTCAGATGTAAAAAGAATTACCAACTCCTGCCAAATATGCGCAGAAAATAAGCCAAGATTCTATAAGCCCCCTCAAGCAACACTTGTGAAGGCCACTCAGCCTTTCGAAAGGCTTAATCTGGATTTCAAGGGTCCACTACCTTCTAAAACACAAAATAAATACATGCTTACTGTAATTGACTAGTACTCAAGGTTCTCCTTCGTCATTCCATGCACTGATGTAATGACCACTACAGTTATTCAAGGCCTCTGCTCCCTTTTCGCAATTTTCGGAGTGCCTGCATACGTTCATACAGATCGGAGATCTGCCTTTATGAAGAGCTAGCTTAATTCTTTTCTTTTGGTAGCTGTATTAAGTTACAGTGGCAGACAGTCCTTGACTGTCAGCGCCGGCTGTCGAACTCTCTGAATTAGCAGAGAGGAACCCGGACGAGGCTTTGCCGAAGGGCAAGGTTTCGTTCGGGGAGGTAGACAGGCCTTGAACCCGCCTAGGCGGGTTTGAAGGCTATATTTTTGGCTGAGCCTACGGGCTCGGAAGACCCACATTAAACTCGGCCTTGTGCCACATTCAATTCTCGTGGGGGGATCGATAAATAGCGGTAGCTGTATTAAGTTGAATAAAGCTTTCCTAAGTTTATTCGGTTCGGGTTATTCATTACAGGTACCTCCACTTTTCTGATGAAAAAACAGCATAGCATGATGAAAAAAGGCCTCAAATTTAATAAAAACAAAGTCTTATCATCAAAATGTTTGTTATTATTAAGAAGAAAAACCAAAGTATTTTTTGATTATTTTATTAAATTTTTTAATCCTTTTGTAGCACATTCAAAATTTTGATTAAAAATCTTGTTTTTTTTTTTGTGTGTTAGCAGTTGTGTGTAATATTTATGATTAGTGTGTTTTAGCACCTTTTTGCCACTGAAAAACACATTGATTTGGAAATTTTTGCAAAAATCAAATAATTGTCAGATTTTAATGAAACTTTCAGGACTTATTCATAAATATAAAAAATATAAAATATAATTTTTGTTTGAAATACACCAGAATATTTTGCTTACTGGAAATAGTAAATTTAATCATTTAGCTTTCAATTACAGCTAAAATGAAAGCTTCAAGATAGCATTTATAAAAATTAATTTTTAAACCTTAGGTTTCAAAAATTAGTGGAGGTACTTACACTAAAGAATCTTCTGATTGGCTGCTAAATGACATCAGTGCTATACAGATGATTCTCAAAATATTCAAAATGGCTGAATACCATCTGGACAGACATTTGAAATTACACCTGTATTTTTTTTTTTTTTTAAGTTGAAGGATTTGGTGTTTACTTTTATACAAGTAGATATTTTATTATTATTTTATTTATTTTTTTACTTCATCTTCACTACCTAATTTTTCTCTCTTTTTATTTTTTGTAGATTCGAATGTTAGCAGACGTCGAAGCAGAATTTACCAAGGTAGTTTCCACTTGTCATTTTTTAAAAAATTCTTTTATTCCCAAGACAAAATATTTTGCATTTTCTATATTAAAAACAAAATGTCTGTTCAATCTGTTGATAGTAAAAATTTATTTTGGTTTACTTAGGTGACCGTAATCAGAATTTGAATTTGTATAAAGCAAAATCTATTGTGACAAGACCAAATTCTGTGGAATGACATTTTAGGGTGCCTCACCATGGAGCAAGATTATCTAGTAGGACAATTTGATAAGGGTCATAGGTTCAGTTCTCAATAGGTGCCCCAGATTTGTGATCTGGCTTAGTTTTAATAAATAAAGATTCCTATCTGCTTTCAGACAAGGAATTAAAGATTCATCTCTTATAGTATTAAGATGAAGTGGAGTTAAGGGTACACTTTAATAATGCACTTTTTTTTTTCTGAACCTCTTTTCATATATTTACACAGGATGGATTGCAGGATTTTGCTACATATTGCATCGCAGTTAAATGTTTAAAATATGTCTAAAATGTAAATATATGATCAAAAGTTAAACAGATATGTATATAAAATTTTTTGACTTGTTCAAGTCATTGTTCAAAATTCTCTTTTAAATGTATAAAGTTCCTTCATAACTACCTTGAACACTTACTGCTACCATGAGGGTTCAAGTGAGCATTACTGCTAATGTTGATAATCACTTTTCTGTCTTTGTTATGAAGAACCCACATATGTGACACATAAAAGCATTTTATATTTTGCTGCAAAATACTTCAGTGCCTGATATTTTTGTAGTTATTAATTTTTGACAAATATTTCATTTTATTTCTGTTACTTTATTGCAATTCTCAGGTCACTATTTGATTGTAAACTAGATATTGAAGATAAAGAAGTATTCTTTATTCATGGTTATCAATCTAACTCTGACTGAACCTAAATCGATTTAACTAACATGATTTGACATTTATGCTAACCACTTAAGTTAGTAGATTTGACAATTGTTGGGTTATTCAGTATCAAAGTTAGTCTCGGTTTTATTCTTTATTTTTCATTTCTCTTAGTCCCTGACCAAATGTATAAGTCAGTGGACAAAAAAATCACAATGCATAGTTATAATGTTAACCTTTCTATGATAACCAATGTTTTTTAAGTTAACCAATTAGAATTTACCCATATGAATTCTGCTGGATAATTTTTGGAGCCAAATAAGGAGTTAATGTAAAAATAGTAGTCAGAAATGACTAGTAATAAAAGACAATCATTCATCCAAGAAATTCAGACATTTTTATAAATTTATAAGCTAAAAAAGCTAAGGAAGATCACTCTTATTTTTTACTTGTAAAAGACACAGTAAACTACTTTGAAGAAAGACTATGACCAGCCCAGTTTCATTCCTACACATCAAGAAATCTTATTAAATCAAAATTAACCAAATAAGCCATCATTTTGTTTCTCTAGAGCTTTTTATTTTGCTTAAGTTATTTATTATTTCACAAATTATTTGGACTAATATCCATATCATTGGTGTCTTTATATTTTGAATGATTTGTTCTCCAACCTTTTCATTTATATATTGTTATAACACGCTTCATATTGCTTATAATATAAGTAATGCTTCAGCAACTTGCCATGACACCTGTATTAATTAGTCTGAAGACTGACTCCAAACAGCTTCTTCCTCCTTACCTCTGACCTGGAGCTATTTATTATAGTTATGGACTAGTTCATATAGCCACTAGGGGTTGTACTATTTACTCCACAACACCCCCCCCCTTTTGAGATTAATACTTTTTATAAATATTTTATTTTTTATTAGTATCAGTATCTCCCCCTCCTCTTTCTGGAGAGTTCACCAACATACTTGACTTTGTCAAGATTCTGTCTTGAATCCACTTCCAGTTCTTCAGTACACTTTCTTTTTCTGGAACTTGGCTGTGTAGGTTCCATGGCATGTTGTGGTGCTGGCACATTGAAAATATTATATAGCATTTTTATCAGTTCTTCCAATGTTTCAGGTCTTTCATCAATGAACCATTTTTTCAGCTGATTATGGTGCCTTTTATATTCAAATCTTTTTCCTTTTACCATGTAAATCAACTTCCCAATTCTTGCTGATATTATGCCATCTTCCCATATTTTTTCACCATCCTTCTATGTTCTAAAGAACACTTTATCACCAACCTTGTAACTTTTGGTGTTGTTTTTATTATTCATATATGTTTTTCAGTTTGGTAATAACTTGTGGAACACCAATTTTTACTTTTCTAGCAAACGTTAATTCAACTGACAACATGCCTGATGGTGCATTGACATTATGTGTTACATGGTATACTCTCAGAAAATTTTGAAGTGTTCCTTATTTACTTTCTCAAGACTTTCTTTCTTCAATGTTCTTTTGAACTTTCCCACAAACCATTCCACTTGTCCTTTCAACCTTGCATGATACAGCAGGGTCGTAATATGTTCACTGGAGAAAATCTTACAAAAGTCTTTGAATTCTTTACCCATGAATTGCATTCCATTATCAGAGACTATGGTATCTGGTATGCCATATCTTGCAAACAGTTCATGCAAGAAATTCACTGTCACTAAAGATGTTGGATTTTTGCACTTATAAATTTCTGTCCATTTAGTGAAACTATCAGCTACCACAAGATAATGTGATTCATTCATAGGACCTGCAAAATCAATATCTTGACCACAGTGTGTCTGCCTTTGGTTAAGGTTCTATCTTTGTGATAGGTAGCTTTCCTGCCAGAGAACAACCTCTGTAAGCTTTTACTATTTTTTCAATATCTTGGTCCATTTTGGTCCAATAAACAAGAATTCTCATCAGAGATTCCATTCTTGAAATACCAGGATGTCCACTATGAAAATCCTTCAATATTAGCTTCTGTAGTACACTAGGTATTACAACCCTTTGCCCAAACATTACTACAACGTTGCATAGCGAGTAAGCCTTTAAGTCTGGATTTCATTCTTTGTTATTTTCTTTCAATTGCTTTTTTATTTTTGCAATAATGATGTCATTTTCTAGTTTTCTTTCTTTTTATTTCTGGATAACTGGTAACTCTTGTACTGTGTTGCACAAAATGTTTTTTATTTCCATTTCTCTTTTTAGAGCTGCAATGACTGTTCCTTTAAATGCTTCTGCATCTTGGTAATCCATCCACATGTCCTAATTTTTTAGCCTGTTGGTACTCCATTGTAAAATCATGGTTTAATAAGATTGTAGTCTATTAGCTGTATGCATAAGTATTCTTTTCTTTGAACCACATATTGTTAATAGAAGGCTATGGTCTGTTTGCAACATAAAATTTCTTCACATCAAATGTAATTGTTAGAGTCTCTTTTTCTATCTGGTTGTAATTTTTCTCTGCTGGTAGAAACGAGTATGAAACATGAGTGAAGGCTTTCATTTTACAGCCATTGTATTTGTGTAAAATCACCACTCTATTACTATACTCACTACCATCTGATGCCACTACAATTTTTGCTTTTGAATCATAGTGTGATAATGATAAATCTGACTTCAGTCTTATTTTATTTCATCAAATGCCTTTTGGCAGTTATAAGTCCACTTTACTCCTTTTTTAAGTAGACCATTCAGTGGATCTCTCAAATTATGCCTATTATGTGCTCGAAAACACATTTTGTTTTATTTACATACCTTGCTGGTTCAGCCCATTTTGAATGGTTAATTTTTTCTATTACACCAATTCTTTCTAGTCTATCAAACTTTTCATTGACTTTTTCCAATACTGTCAATGGTACACTCTGTTTCAGCTTAAATACTGGCATTGAACCTTTTTTTACTTGAAAATTTGCCTTGAATTTTGAACACTGGCAGAACATCTGGAACATCTTTTTTAATTCTGTCTTAAGATTTTCGCTCTGACTTTTTAAATTGGTTGCTTGTTCACTTACATTTTTACAATAAATGTTTATCAACAAATCCCAAAATTTGAATCCAGTCAGTACCAAATAAATTTATAGCATTTTTTAATATATAAACTTTAGTTTTTATACACTTATTACAGAATGAGACATTACATGTCATTTCTCAAAAAAAAAAAATTTCTCCCCTAAACTGAAATCATGACTTTGGAAGTCCTTTTTAATAAAAGCTTTCCAATTTCCTTCCATGTCATTTCCCTTATTATTAAAATATCACAAAATAGCAAAAGTTTTGCTCGTATTTCAGCATCTTTTTCAGTTGTTAAACCTTAAATGCAGATTAATCCTTTGACCATATCTGGAGTCATTTCCTTTATTCCAAACTTTTCACATTCTTTGTTGATGATACAAAATTTTCATCCACTTTTTTGGTTAGATTCATGCACCTCCACAGTGCATTAAGCAGAAAGATTTTCATCAGAATGTGTACTGTGTCTCCAAACCCTATTTTACCTGTTTTTTTTTTCAGTAATATGTAGTTGCAGTATTTTTCATACTCTATTGGAGCTATTTTCCTCAACAACAATCATGTTTTTATCTCATCTTCCCAGCTGCTGCATTCCTGACTGAATATTTGTTCATATCTATGAAAATATGCAGAAAAAGCCAGTCGCTCATCAGGATTGTATACAAATTCTGATATGGTATTTTGGACAGTGTCTGGCATAAGAGATGTTGAAAATTTTTTTGTTTTCTTCAGAATTATATCCAACAACTCCTGTTACTGTTTTTGTAGTTCTAGCAACTGTTGATTTTGTTGTTGCTGCTGTTTCTGTTGTTGAATTTCAACAATTCAGTTTTGTTTTTTTTTATTTCATTCTTTTGCCAAAACAATATTTCTTGGATTTTATTGTCAATAATCAAATTCTGTAAAGAATGGTCAATATTTTACTGACAATTCTTACTTGCCGTGACACTTAGCATTGACTATATCCTTTAACTGTTGTTTGCCCAATGGTTTCATAAAGATTGTGACAAAAAAGTCCATACTGTATTTAGTTTGTAGACATTGTTCAATTTGGTTTTAAATTTCAGTTAATACTCGTTATTATCAGCAATGTCAGTTTTCTTTTATTTATTTTTTCAAATTTCAATGTTTTTAAGAAGTTTGAAGTCTTAAAATATTATTTAACTATATCTATATTATTAATTGTATCTGATGACAATTGCAAATAGTTGAGTTTGATAATTATTTTATAGAACAACAGAAAAAAATATAAAAAAAAATTACTTGTCTGTAATTTTTAATTATTTTCTATTTTCTAACTCATCAAAAACTGAATAAGTTTAAAGAACAATAATCTAACTAAAATAAATATCTTTTTGAATAAGGTTACCAATAATTTCTTGCATACCATTCATTTGTATAGTTTGTTTGATCCTCATTTGGTACTCCACTACTTTGACCTTGGGTCAGACTAAGATTAATAAATTATGTAAATATCTATTTGTGTTATCAAATACAGTTATTATGATCAAATATTAATATTTCTTAATTTTTCTACAAGAATTGTAATAAGCTATTCATTCTAATCAAATATAAGCAAAATAGGAAGGAAAGATTGAAGTTTTAGAAACCAAAATTAATTCAACGTGATCTACAAGTATTTCTTTATTAATCTACAACATATTAATTCCTTTCTGAGTAAATGACTTGTTACCTTGTACAGTTGACTGGTTACCTTGTACTTTTGAGCCAATTGTTGGGCTTAATAACAATTAAAATATGTAATTGAATAGTGATAGGAGTGAAATAAAGATCTCTGTCTCAGCATAATGGACAATCAGTCAAGTCTTTTACTTAGAAATTGAAAAAATATAAAAAGGCCAGATTTACTGGTGATTCAGACTTTCAATGTTTTATCAGTAACAAGTGTTCTCAAATGTAAATCTTAATATTTCTTTTAACATGAAATAATGGCTATTTCTGAATATTTTCTATATTTTCAGGCAATGGGCCTCAGTATTGATCTAACAGCTGTTCTTGGGAACCACCGATCTAAACGGTTTGTACATTCAATAAAATTTAGGATCATTTTTTCATTTTCTTTCTCTTTCAGCAATATTGTAACATTATTAATAATTTCTGTCTTAATTTCTGGGATGAGGAATTCTCATTAGTTATATTACCCTACACACAACCACCAATCTGCCACTGGTGACATGTCACTAGTGTTTACCGCTGGTGGCCCACTGTCAGACTGCCAGTGTGTTTATCTCAGCAATGTTACCACTGGTGGACTGCTAGAGGCCCACTGGTGGCTGCTACCAGTGGGCTTCTAGCAGGTAAGGTATTACATGCTTGTAGGGTATTTACATTCAAATCTCCATCTTTTTTTTTTTTTTTTTTTTTTTTTTTTTGGAAGTGTATCCATAAACTGTGGTATCACCTGTATAAATATTTACTAATGATCTGAGATTGTTCCTAAGCAGAAAGAGGGTGTTAATAGTTTCAGACTATTATTTTTTTAGTGACCTTCTGTGGCTGACCTTTAAGGTTAGATGGTAGACAAAATAGGGGTGTCAATTTTGAGTGGCTGAACTGAACATGGAAATGTTAGTGTCAGAAAGTGTTTTCGGTGAGTTAAGTTTTTACACGATATACCCATTAGACGTGTTCATTTCGTGTATGGAACATGCTCTCTAGTAGGGGTCATAGAGTGACCCCACAGGCTAGTTAAAAATGTGCACGTTGACATGCTTAATAAAATAGATAAGTTAAAAATCCCTTTTGTTGAAGTTCTCATTTTGCCTCCTAACAAACCAACTAGCTGTCATCTAGCCAGAAGACGATGACCGGGGGGGGGGGGGAATAAGAGAGAGAAGGTACAACATTATGTAATCGACCATGTCACCCAAAAGACCTCCCCAGAAGAGATGAGGGATATACAACACAAAGATATAGCCTTGGGGAAGGCCTGTATTAATCTTATGGGCTTCAGAAGACAGGTGATTCACAACCACCTTCATGGATCTACCTGAGAAAAAAGACTTGATGATTGCATAAACATTTCCAAAGATGCCATAACTGGAGAGTTTGTGTAGCAAACACTAATGCTACACTATCAAAAGTCAATTTACAAGCACATGGTGCTGTTTTCCCTTTGGGACATAGATGAATCTGGTCCGTTTAAATCTGGAGTCCTAAAAATGGCCTCTCTAGGTCAGGAATATCTCTAAATTATATGTAAGAGCTTTCTTTTTCATTCCTCCTTATACTTTGCTTGGCTATGTGGATATATGTGATATATAGTTCTATATGTGGGACATGTGTATACTTATAGTTTTGTGTATATCTTAGTATTATGAATGTTTCTATGAGAACAAAGCATATTCATCATTCTTTTTTCTTTCAGCCATTCCATTCCATCCTGTCCATGAGCTACAGGGTTGTTATATCACAGATATAACAATGCCCATAATCAGAGAAATGTAATTGGGAGAATAAATCTTTCTTCTCTAGCTTTGATTGATTCTGTGGTTAATGACAGTTAAAACATCAGCAGTGGACCTAGAAAAGCATGTTGTTTGTCACTCAGGAGGTTATTTCTAGTGATCAACTACCTCCTTGTTAATAACAGACTCAAAGAGTTTGCTAATAACACTAAAGTGGCTGATGGGGATGTGTGCACCAACATTCTTATAAACAGATTAATCAGATGTCAACTTCCACATTTCTTCTTCAGGCAGCAGTTAAACAAATTTGCCAAGATTGAAAATAATTCAGGACTACAGTTCTTAAGTACAATGACAGGGATTTTATCTGGCCTTTGAAGAATCAAAGTTTTTAATGAGCAAAGTTTGTAACTCATGAGAGGAGGGAAGAAAGGTAGAGGATGTCTCTTGTCATCTAGTGTGAAATTTGAAGCAAAATTCATTGCAAGGAGATGAATAATACTGTGTAAGTGTGATTATACAGACTTTTTGATAATTTTAAAGGCTTTGTAGTGACACTGGCAAATTAATATGCCTAATTTGCATAAGTGCAAAAGACAGCCTATATAACTTGTCACTGAGAATAACATGGGATGAAGACAAGCTTAGCGACTGACTAGTGCTATAAACTTTGACTTCACATCAATGGCGTCGCCGATAGGATCCCATTTGTCTCTAGAAGATTCAGATTTTGTGGATGCATGGATTCACTGTTTTTCTGCCAGTGCGAAAATTAAAAAGCTGAAAGACAACAAGGAGAAGGGAGGCGAAAATGAAATTACGGATTTATTTTTGGCTACAGCTGGATGCGAGACGATAATGAAAGTCTCCACCATGGCACATCCCACAAACTTGGAAGACCTGACTTTCGAAAAAAAAAGTCAGATTATAAGGAGAAATATGAGACCCAAGAAAAGGCTGGTAGTGGCAGAAAGAACAAAGTTCATGTCGATGAAACAAGAAATTGACGAACCAATTATAAAATATCTACACCATCTACGAAATGTGAGTAGATATTGCGAATTTGAAAAACTCGGACAAGACGAACAGACTATTGAAGAGGACTTGATTCAATTAAGGTCAATTGAAGGTATGTGCAATGCATCACACCGATATAAAATAATGGAACAACTACAAATAGGAAACATGTCTTTAAATACATGCATTGACTTTATACAGCAACAAGAATTAATACAGAAATACAACCATCATAAAAGTCAACCCAGCAAACAAATATTCGCTGATACGTACATGTTAAAAAAGATAAGAAAATGTTCGTCTTGTGGATGTGAACACGAAATAAAAAGGGAAAAATGCCCAGCATTTGGAAAAACCTGTACAAATTGCTTAAAAAAGAACCACTTTCAAGCAGTATGCAAATTCAAAAAGAAAAACGTTGAAAGAGTTGAAGAAAACAAAACCAATATGGAAGTCTTCACATTAAAAATTAAGAATATAGAAAAAATTGAACAAAAGAAAAAAGACATTATACTAAAGGTTAAAATCAACAACTGAAATTTAGATATGCAAATTGATACTGGGAGTGTAACGCTGATACCAAAAAATTTGGGGGAACGCATTGGAAAGCCACCTTTATGAAAGAGCAGTTTACAACTCCACCAATTTGATGGGTCGGTCATAAAAACTTTGAAAGTTCCTTGGAGTTAGAAGATAAATTTGAAGTAATACCTATAATTGTCACAAGTTGTAAAAAGAACCACGGACTTCTTGGAAACAACGTGCTTAACATAAATTCTACCAAATTAATTAATGAGATAAAAATGGAAAAAAATGGAAAGTTAAAACACTATAAAGCGAGTTTAAAATTAAAAGAAAATGTTTTGATAGATTAAAAGTAATTATGGCAAAGAAACCAGTAGTGAAAATGTTTAATTCAAAACAGGACATTACGTTAACCACAGATGCAAGCGAACATCGGATATCGGGAATATTATCACAAGAAGGACATCCGATAATGTATTTATCAAGAAGACTAATGAACACTGAATTTAATTATTCAAATATAGAGAAAGAAGCATTGGCTATTGTGTGGACACTACTAGAGCCCGACAATTTTTAATTGGGAAAAAATTTCTGTTAAGAAGTGATCATAGACCATTAGAGTTTATATTTAACCCAAGGAAAGAATTACCCAAAGTCACGACATCGAGGATATTAAGATGGGCAATAAGATTAATGGCATTTGACTTTGATATAGAATATGTCAAAGGAAATTCAATTCCACATGTAGATGCACTATCAAGATTGCGATTTAATAAGGAGTCAAAAGATAAAACGGAAGAAGAATTTGAAGATGCATTCTTACATTGGGTAGAAACTGATGTTTTGTCTTTAGATAGAATGGCTGTGGAAACTAGACATGATCCAGTACTAAGTAGGATAATATCGAGAATAAGAAAAAACTCATGGGGAAATTGTTCTAGGGCGGAAAGACCCTACAAAGAAATAAGACAGAAATTAACGATAGAACATGGAGTGATTTGTAATGGGGATCTGGTAGTTCCCCTAGAAACACAAAAGTGTACATGATGATATACACTGTGGAGTAGTGGCCACACAAAAAGGATAAAATTAGAAGCATGGTGGCTGGGATATTCAAAAGATGTCGAAGAATATATAAAAAGGTGCAAAAAATGTAAAGAATTAAGAAACTTTACACAGACTACTTTACATTCGTGGCCCAGAGAAGTGGAGCCATGGAGTTGGGTGCATATGGATCATGCGTATATTACTGGAGTGGGACTCTTATTAATTCTAGTAGACTCTTTTTCAGGCTGGCTTGAAATAATCTGGTTGCCAGACAAGAAAAGTTCTATGATAAAACAGATTCTAAGGGTCATATTTTCCAGAAACGGCATACCAAAAACCTTGGTATCTGACAACGCACCAGAATTTTGCGATGAAGATCTTAATTTATGGTTAGAAAAAATAGGATGTAAACCGTATAAGACACCTCCATATCACCCTCAGTCAAACGGGTTAGCGGAAAGAATGGTGCAGACCGTAAAAAACGGGACTAAAAGCATGCTCTCAGCAAAAAGAAAAAGTAGAAGTTTTTCTACCGAGGCTGCTTTTAAGCTATCGCACAATACCACACGCTGAAGGACTAGAAAGACCATCAGCTTTAATGGAAAGACAAATTAGAGCTCTGCTAACGATGTTGTATTCCACAAATGAAAAAATGTGGTACAAAAAGAACAAAGAAGCAAATCCGGAAAGGGCAGAATTTATCATGCAAAAAGGCCACAATACAGCTATAATAAATAGAGAAAATGGCAACAGTGTATTAACCTATGGAGATCAAATAAGGACCCAGGGTGAATATGAAGAACAAAACGATGAAGAAATGTCTATGATTCCATCCGTTAATGATTTATTTGAACAACCGTTACAGAATGAAACATCAGAAGACGAAATAATGCAGGATCATGTGGGCCAGAATGAGTTTGAAAGTTTGGACAAAGATCAAATAATGCAAGAAGATGCCTATGATTACAGCTTAGCGCGGGAAAGATCTAGGTCTCCCAGAAAAAGAAATACGGGAGAGAGAGAAGTAGAGCAAAGTAATGAAACTATCAAGAGAAGAAGTACAAGAACTACTAGAGGTATAAAACCTATACGTTTCAGGGAGATGTAGTGACATTGGCAAATTAATATGCCTAATTTGCATAAGTACAAGATAAAGCCTATATAACTCGTCACTGAGAATAACATGGGACGAAGACAAGGTTAGCAACTGACTAGTGCTAAACTTCGACTTCACATCAGGCTTCTTTGAAATTATCTTAAAATCTTGAGACATAAAGAACCTAAACATATGTATTTACATTATTCGGACTGTAGCCCTCATCTTCGTTGTCATATTCATGACATTTTGGATGTTGTATGCTCCAGCCTTCTTCAAATTTTGAACTGAACCCTTTATTTCGTCCACTGGGGTAGATTGTTCTAGTTCCATATGCCATGCCTATTCTGGATATCTCAGTATCAGTTATCTCCCTTTAACTCAACTCTCCAATTTTTTGTTCACCTCTGCTGTAGCCAGGTATTGAACTCACAACTCTTTTGGGTCAAATCACTGGATTCAACTAATGCTTATAACCACTGGGCCATGTGTCTTTAAGGACAATGTAAGTAGTGTAAATAATTACAATACCTCATCTCAGATATATAGACAGATACTAAACATGTGTGTTTATTCTAAAATGTTAGCTTATTTCAAAAACATTTTTTCTGTTTGATCCTTTCACTTATATAACATGTCTACACAAGTTTGATTTCAGCTCAACTAAGTAAGAATTTTTTTTGGCATTGACTAAAACTACTAAGAACATTAAAATCTTATAAACATTACTAGAATTAACAATCCTTGTCATTTTTCTCTGGTGAGCTTTTGCTAATTTGAATTCCTACATGTCATCATTTTGTCTTGGATAAGATAATAATCATTCCTCTGATTGTAAATAAGTTTGAATTCAATTTGAAAAAGCAAAACAGTTCAAAATAAACAATAAAAAGGAAATTGTCAGATTAAACAATGTGTGTGTATTGGCGTGAATAATTTGAGTTGGGTTAAAAGTTGCATTAAGTTTATTTACTTAAATGAAAAAGCATTTTTCCTTTTGATGAAAAGGTATAATTTTTATGTTTTATTTCTAAATGGATGTTTAATATAGAATGATAGTTATTTGAAAGATAGGATTCAGTCCTCACAAGGTACATCTCAATTGTGGTTTTGTGCTAGATTAATCATCAGGTAATAGTTAATAAGCTTGGCATTACAGCTAAAGTGAAAGAACTTGTTCTTTTTTGTTAAGTAGACACACATATATACTCAATAAATGGTCAATGGACTTACCTCATTGATTGACTGAAGAGTTTCAAATAAAACTGCTTGTCAGGGATTGATGGTCTGATAAATCTACTGAATTATTATCAGATCTCATATTTATACTCCACAAACACAAATCATAGACTTTAAATTTCAAACTTACTGTTATGAATAATCAAGAGTAGTCTCCCTTTGTTTTGTTACTCTCTTCTTTGAGAGAGCTATTTCTGTTTACTGGGACTATAAAAGGACACTATACACGAACCTTGTATTCTCAGTTGAATAAAGGTTTCTTAAAGCCTACATCTGCATATTTTTGTCATTACATGTTAGAATCTATAAGAAGGCAACAACATTTAAATATTTAGAAGCAATCAAAAAGTTACTTTTTTAACACAGCAAATCCCCAAACAATCATATAATTCAAAAATAGAAAGCTTTAAACCATCGTAGTATTCAAACTTATTGATTATTTGTTAATTTCAAATTACTTAGTTAATTGTAAATTCAGTTTATTTAATTATATTATTATGACTCTCAGAAAATAACAAACCTATTTTATAAAGTTTTTACTATATTTATAATTATATAAAAGTATTTATGTAGAAAACCATATAGTAAGATAAACTCTGTAAATATTATAAACAAATATGAATCGTAATATAAATGTACAGAATATTACTTGATATTTTTATTTTATTTTATTTTAAAAAATCATTTTGATTTATGTTAAAGATGGGCATTTTTATATCTTCTAAATATTTAAATGTTGTTACTGTCTTAATGGAATCTAGCATAACAAGTATTTAAAATTGAAATTTTGAAATCTATGATGAGCATTTGTTTCTGTGGAGTATAAATATGAGATCTTGTGATAATTCAATAGATTTATCAGACCATCTACACAGTTTTATTTGAAACTCTGGAGTTGGTCAATGAGATAAGGCCTTTGAACATTTATTGAATATTGTTTCTCTAATTATCTATTGATCACCTTTTTGGCAAAATTAGCCTTAAAATATGTTCAATTCTACTAATTTTTGTGAATTTTGATAGGTGTCTTTCAGTTTTATTATATATATATATATATATATATATATATATATAGTAATATAATTTTAAGTTACATATTTTTATTTAATAATGTTAAAATTGCAAGAATAATTACATGAGAAAGTTTCTTGAAGCACATTTTTAATTTAACAAAATGGCAGTAGAATCAAATTATTTTTTTTATTTATTTCTATTTTCTAGTTATGCAATGGTTGTGGAGGATGGAATTGTCAAGTCTGTGTATATTGAACCTGATGGAACTGGTCTAACTTGCAGTTTGGCTTCCAACATCATTAATGACTTGTAAGAGAAATCCCAGATCTCAAAAGTCCTCTATACGGACAGCATTATATCCAGAAAATTTTAAAATGTTTTTGTAGATATTTAACCTGTTTTAAAAAAACGTATATAAAATTGATTGTTTAAATTTATGAAGTAATAGTGAAAACTTTTAGACCTGACCAAGAAGCCATTTTCAAAAACAATTCTGATCATTTGTTCAAATTTTGTGAAGTGGGTTGGATTAACTTTTCAGCACTCCCTCATATATCTTTTGATATTATTTTTCATTTCTGATTAATTATGAAATAAAATTTATACCTGAGAAGTGAATTCTTTTGTCTTTGTTTTTTTTTGCTGTAAATAAATTTGGAAAAGCAAAATTTATCAAAATGTCATTATGCTGCATGTTGACAGTAATGAAGGATCTCAGCTTGGCTTTTTCTCTCGGCCAGCAATCACAAATTGTTTTGGCTCGGCAATGAAAGACTCCAAACACAAAGAATGTTAACCTAACAATTTTTATTAATCATGTCAACATGTACATTATTTAAATATCCAGTGGGGGTCGCTTCCTCCCCACCTCACTGAGAAGCCAATTCAGACACTAAAGAGAACATGTCTACATCACTTGACAGATAAGAAACAACTCGCTGAAAACTTTCACCTATCTCTTTCCCATGTTAGCTCAGCCAATCAAAATAAACTTCCCTATTATGTCTCATATCTGACCCTGGCTGTCAACCCCCAGAAGTCAGCTCCGAGATACACTTCCTGTAAAAATAGTAGTATGATAAACAATTATCATTTTCCACCATACAAATTCTGCTGCATTTGTAAATGCTATCAATTTAGTACATTTAAGGTACTGTGACTCAATTTGTATGTCTTTGTCTTACATAATATCTGTACAGAAATGATTCAGCCATTTAACAAAATGATAGCTTACCAAGAACAGTGGCACTTTAGTCCTCTTCCAAGTAAACCTCTTTAAGACCTCACATGCTTGTTGCAGTATCTCTTTCACTTTTCATGTCCTCTTTAGAGATCATCATCAGCTTCCTCATCGGATTCTCCTTAATCTTGTTAACAGTATGAACTTTTAATTTTAATAAAAGCCAGAAATCACAATGGCTGGACATTATCCAAGTCTGTCAGCTCCTCTACAGTCCACATTTGGCTTCTTTATTGCTTGCTATTTCTAAAGATAAAATTACTGCTGAATAGGAAGAAATTTTTGACTGTAAATGAGATTAAGAATGCCATGAGATAACTGATGGTGGTCCCTAAAAAGAACTTTACAGACTGTTTTGAAAAGTGGAAGGGTTATTAATGTAAGTGTGGCATGTGAAGTTCCAAGGATAGTAATTTGAAGGGACTAAAATGCCTTTATCCCAGGTAACATTTTTTTTATAACTTATATTAAATGAATGGATAATTATAGGTTTATAAAAAAAGATTCTTATTAATTATTGGTTTCTACCTATAACTCAGTAATGAGTATCATCTGAAAAATAAAAAGTGGATTAAATTGTCTAATCTTGTATTGTCATTTTTGATAAGCATTTTTTTTTACCCAAACCTTGCTAATTTGCTTTCATTTAATTTGAATATCTGCAAGTATAACATTACATTTTGGTTTCACTGTTATGTAATGTGAAAAGCCAACTTGAATTGATCAAATAAATCCACTTGACCTTCTTCAATTAATACTCTTTAATTTATAAACCCTGTAAACCACTATTAATCACTGAATTTGGTTTCTCGTGGCTTTCAGACATTTTCTAATTGATGCATACAATTGATCTACAATTGTGGAAACTAATCTTTCCAATAATTTTTCTCTTCACATTGATTCTCATAATTCTAAGATGATCACCAGAAGAATATAAATTATTGTAAAACCAAACAACTGGCAAAAGCCCAAATTTGAATGACATTCAAAAAATTCTTGAAAGAATTTACTCATGTCTAACAAATCCTTTGTGTGTGTGAGAGGTGGGGGTCTAAGAAAAAAAAAATATTGTAAAGAAAACTAAGTTGATGTTAATCAAAATAATCTCATTGAAGGTCAATCAAAAATCTTGGATTATAGCTAAATCAATAGGAAAATAGTTAATTTCACTTTTTCATTATGGCACCACCTTTAAATATGGCCCCCTTTTTAAGAGGCTCAGTTGAAAGGTGAAATTGTCATAAAACTGCCTTTGGTTGAGACCAAGAAAGAAGAAAGTCAACAAATATTTTGATCAAGAGAATGGAAACATAAAACCTTTAGTTTTTATAATCCTAGGAGGAAAATTGAAAAAATTTATTTTTTTAGAACCTTTAATGAAATCTATGTTCCACTTTCTTCAGATGTATTAACACACTGACTATTACTTTAGATATTTGAACCTTACATAATACTATAGGTGTTTTTGTTAAAATTACCATTACAAATTACTATATAAAACTATTTATATTGAATAAAGGTAATATTAGCCATTTCCTTATAAGGAGACATTCAGCTTTCATTAGCTAGTGCTAATTTCAGTTGTAATTTATAAAATCTTTCCCTTAAAAATATTTTTCAGGAAAATAAGTTTCTCAAATGCAGTAGTTGTTATTGCTCTTTCCAGTATTGATTGGGGGTTCCTTCCTTGCCTTTTGTTTGTGTGGAATGTTAGCATGTCATCAGTATAGTTCCCCTCATTTTCTGTACATTGGCCTCAGGAGGGGAAGCATTCTTTTCTATTAGTAAATCTATTTGGGATATGGTGTAAAATTTTGTGATCAATGCCCACCCATCTCTTCACATCTGTGCTTGTATATGCACAGAGCATAGTCTCGGAAGTGATTAAATAGATTGGGGATCTCATTTCCTCCTTGTCATACTCTAGATGAGGTTTCAAGTGTTTTAGCATATATGACTGTGGGCTGATATAATTATTCTATCAGTTCTAGACATTCAGTGGATTTGGAAATTGGAAGACAGTTTCTAATGAATGAGAAAAGGAAGTCTCTATAGATATACGCTGATGTGAGGTCTATATAAGTATATAATTTTTTCTATTGGAGATGTAAGCAATTTCCTGGGGTTGTTTGATATATATGCCATCATTATACACCTTACCAGAACAAAAGCCAAATGGTCATGAGGAGTTGATATTCATAGAACAGTGACAGCCTAATTTATACAATGTTCCTTAGAACCTTCACCATAATGGATCCAATTGAGATACTTCTGTATATGTGAGGGTTTTTTTGCAAGGAGGTACCTTTTCATTTCCAGAGTGCATCAATGTGCGATGACCCCATTTTTTGGGATGCATTTCTGAATCCAGATTTCCTCCATGAAATTTAGAAAGTTGTTTTTAAATTCAGAGAGAGGGTTAGCTATTTTCAAAAGTTCAGCCTCAATATCAAGTGATGCTTTATTATTATTTAGCTTTTTTATACCTTTCTTTACTTCCCCATCATTAGTTATTGTTTATGTTTAGTGACAGACATTGTAATGCTTGGATGTATTTTGGTGTATATTCTTAATGGAATCCTCCATATTTGCTACTCACCCCTGCAGAAAAATGCACTCTTCCCCCAAATCAACTTTAACCAATCATTACTTCACTTTTTCAAACTTGACTTCTCATTGGTTAAAAGGACCTAAAAATGTAGCAAGTTGCGACAAATCTGTTTTCCCGCTCACCTATCTGGAGCCGGTTTGAAACCCAAAAAATCAATAAATAGGATTGCTTCGCTTGAAAGGAACTGAGTCTTTGAGAGATGCCAACAAACTCCACACATGCCTGCACATTGACTCAACAACCGCCACTCTCTCTCAGCAACTCAACACAACTCAAAAAGTCTTGCTGCGTGAATTGACCCAACTTACAATTTACTACAAAAAGTGACATTATCACTACCGAAGTAGTAATTGTATATTTAATCAACTTACATTATATCAGTCAAAGGCACATAACTCCTTATGACTTTAAACAATATTTACAATTGTCACACACATACACACTATTATTTGAACCCACACAAGTGACATTTCACCTTGCAGAAATCAAACTGTTTTAATTTCATAGACAAACCTTAACTACAAGCTTTCATACACCAAATCACTGCATGGTCACTCCTTACAATTTTATCTTACTTATCACATTGAACAAGCAATCTTAAATTCACTTTGTGTATATCAAACGTATATAAATGCATGATATTTGTTGAAATCTATAACTATGTTGTTTCTCCTTGCCTTCAAATGTTTGTTTATTTTATTTGTTGTGGATGAATGTTTAATGAACACGCACATTTTTAAGCCTTCACACAATCTCACCTTCTGACACATCCAGTTAGCTCAAGTTCCGCAATATTCTAGTTCTATTCAGCTTAGTGTGGTCAGATTGGAAATGTGATTTTTTCAGACCAGAATGGCACTATTCAGCTTTGACACACTCTGCAGCCAAGAGGTCAAAACATGTCAAATCTAATAACAGGTTCTCCTAGGGCTACACAGGATCAAATGAATTCTCTGGCAGAATTTGAATATTCTGACCAACAGACAACTTGCCAAAACCTAAAATCCTTATCCAGATACAGTCCTGAATAAAAATAACAATACTGAAAAAAGAAAGAGGAAAAAGGCCTAAAGACAAACTGATCTACTCAGTAAAGTGCTTGAAGCTGAGATTGCCTAGACTGAGCAAAAAATGCTTAACAATATTAAATCTTATGAAAGAATGGCTCTAGTTGTAACCAAGTTTCACACTCATGCAATCTTCTGATGATTTGTTGAATAGAAATGAAAGAAGGGAAGGACAAGCCTTATATAACCTGTGAATCACCATAAAGCATCACAGGGAAAAAAAAATGATTTCATTAAAAAAACCATGGATCACCACACCTACATTGGGGAAAAAGAAAATAGACAAAAAAACCCTGTGGGTGGGCTACTATATATATATATATATATATATATATATATATATATATATATATATACACAAACAAGTTTGATTAAAAAGAACTGACAAGGTCTTTCTGCTTCATTTTTTATTGTATTTTTCAAATTTATGGATAAACTGTCTGAAATTCATATTTTGTTATTTTTCTTCAAGTACTTTCAACTTTCACAGTCATTATCAAGAACTGATGTGGTGCCTGTATGATAGAATTCCTTTGTCTGCATCCTGGTATTCTTTGGAAAGAATAGGAAACTGGATATTTGAAATGGTCTAGTGTGATGTCATGTGTAATGGCTATTGGGAATGAGGCTGCACAAAATACAATTCAATTTATTTATTTTTTATTTTTATTTTATTATATTACTAATAAAATATGTGTGCACATTAATTATATGCACTTTTTTGTAAAATATGAACTTTAGACAGTTTATCCACAACTTCAAGCACAATACTGAATACCTTATTCAAAAATTGAAAAAGTACAATAAAAAAATGAAACTGATAAACCTTATCAGTTCTTTTTAAAACTTGTTTGGATGACTACTTGTAAATATATGTGTGTGTGTGAATTAATCCTTAACTCTGCGTATAAAAATAATTCCATTCCACCTCCATCCATCGAACTCAAAAAATTATTGCATGCCTGCACAACTAAAGCCCCTTTCTGCAACCATAATAGTAATATCTACACTCAAATTAATGGTGTTAGTATGGGAAATCTACTTAGCCTGTGCTTTTCCAACTACTAGAAATTCCATATAGAAAACGCAATATTTAAACAAGTTACTAAACCCCAAATATATGTTTGCTATGTAGACAATATTTTTATCTTAGCAAACAAGACAAGAAAAAAAAAAACAAACAAGAAATTGATACTCTCAAAACCACATTTGAAAAAACTCTGTTTTTAATGTTACCTATGAACTTAGTCAAAAAAACAAACTCCCATTCTTAGACATTCCTATAGAATTCAATAATAACACATTCACCACTTCATTATATAAAAAATCACTAGCAGAAACTCTTGTCACCATAATTTTAAGAGTGAATGCACACTTAGATATAAAATAGTAGTTATAAAAAATTTCCTAAAGAGAGCACACAAGAATTCGTCCTCTCATCCCCTTTTCCTTAAAGAACTCAATAATGTAAAACAGATGCTAGTTATCAATGGTTTTCCTAACTACCTTATCAACCACCAGGTTAGACTATTTCTTTCTAAAGTAACTAATAGTGATACTGAACATGTAGATAAAAACAATAACATTAACATCGTCTACAAAAGCAAAATACATGTTATCTATAAGCAAGACAAATTTTCTCTTAGAAATATCCTAAAGAAATATACGACACCAGTTGACCTGAACAAGAGAATTAAATTAATTATCTATTACAAAAAATTTAAAACAGCTAACCTTATCATCAAAAATATCAACACACCCACAAAATCAAAACTACAAAGAACCAACATTATTTATGAGTTCAAATGCCTCTTAAAGAACTGTGTTCCTGATCAAACCAAATTCATAAATAATTGCATTGGTTATACTACTACCTACCTATCTAGACAACCCACATTACACCTACCTGACCATAGTTCAATTAGGCCTTATTAAAACACATGAAAACCTACCAAACTCCATCTGAAACATACTAGTAAAAAATACAAGTATAATAGCCTCATCCACATGTAAGAAAAGATTAAAAATAATGGAAGCCCTAATAATAAAAAAAGAAAAGCTAACAGTCATTAACATTATCTATGAACATGGCCACAATATGCTGACCATGTTTGGAAAATAAAACATTTTTATAACTTAAGACACATTCAATTAAAATTAAAATTCCCTTTGATAATGGCTAAAAGAGTAGCTGTATGCAATTGGATATGCAGAAATTATGGACATTTCTACACTTCGTGTCCAGAAAAGAAAACACTTGTATGAACACAAAAAAAAATTAAATAAAAAGCTTAATCACAGCACCTTGTCAGTCATCTTTAACGAAACTTGTATAAAAGAGGTATTGCTGGCCAAATACACACACACAATATATATATATATATATATATATATTGTATGGTTTGTGAAGAAAAGCTTTAAAAATTAAGATTTCATTCAAATTATAATGGGCACAGAATTACCTTATATAGGGAATCTATTAAATAATTAGTTTCAGACAAAAACATCTTTTTATTAAAAATTATTTATAAGATACGATATCCCTACTGAGTGGATACCAACTTAAAATGAAATCTAATTAAAATTATAAATTACAGAGAAAGATAAAAATTTCACAGCATTTAAAAGATATATCAAATTATTAATCAGCAAAGTTTCAGCTTTTAAGCATGTACAGTTATTAGAAATGTTATATCATTCAAATAAGACACTTTCAAACTGAGCTAAGCATTTTTTGTTAATTATTTGCATGTATTTTGTGTCTACTACTACATCCATGCACCAGGTATAAATAAAGGATGACATATCAAGTAGTCAATTTGTGTGATGGTCCCAGTAGCAGTCAGATGTAACAGTTCTAATTAAAGTCAAAAGAGGAGTCATTAAAACATTTTTCCTGTCTCTAGTTTATTTCCTGCTGGATAAAAAATGTTTTCATAAGAAACTAGTCTAAAAAAATGTAAAAAGCAATTGTTGTAAAACACCTCAACAATTTCTGGAATATAAAACTATTTCACTTTATTTGATTTCTTTTTCACCTTTTATTATGGATGAGTTGAATATTTTTTTACAAGGCAAATTTTCACCCCCTCAACTTTTCACTATCTATCTATCTATCTATCTATCTATCTATCTATCTATCTATCTATCTAACAACCATAAATACATCTAGAGACATCAACCTATAAATGTAACCCTGAATTTTACATCAAAACCACAATCAGACAATTAGGATTAAGCTATAAGATAGGTTCGTTTTTTAGTCTTTGTTTACGTAAAATTTGTTTTTGTATTTAACTTTTTTCATTCAGTTGGTTTATTCATATATATGATTTGATTTATATATATATATATATATATATATATATATATATATATAAATAAATCAAAATTACCTCATATAGGGAATAGCATATTTTGGCAGACAAAGATATTAGTCATTTGCCTTATCAACCTCGGTGTAGACTGAGTTCATATCTATACAGTTGGTGGGGATCAAGAAGTAGAATTTAACTGCAAAAGCTAAAAAAATTAACCTGTCGAAAAACTAGTACAGAATTTATCCATTTCAATATTTCAGTCAGATAAAAGGCCCGAGAGAGGTCAAATTATTTGTCATTTATTATTTTTATATATATATATATATATATATATATATATATATATATATATATATATAATTAGTAATAGTAATAAATTAATTTATATAAATTTGTACATGGAGCTTCATGTACTTTTTATATTCAATCTTTGCTGGAGTTATCAATGAACTAAATTTATAAATACAGATTGTTCTTTTTTATCTTAAAAAAAAAATATTATTTTTATGATGACCTATGATATTTGAAATTATCGTGTAAATTATAAGAAATTAATGTATGTGATAACATTTTGAATTTCTGTTATTCTTAAATCAGGTATTAAATATTAATGGAATAGTGATTTTTCTCTTGAGTTATGTTATTTGATTAAATTCCCAATAGCCAATCTAATTGTCTTACAATTGCTAGAATGATTCTGGTGTAATAAAATACTACTGTTCAAAACTTTGAACCTGTGCAAATTGTTAATTTAGTGAAGGTTTCCACTATTATTTATAACATGTATTTTATTTATTTCTTTATTATTTATAAATAATTTAAAAAATATTTTCTTGATGATTACAGTTATATTTAATGTTGGTTAATGAAATTATATATATATATATATATATATATATATATATATATATATATATATTTTTTTTTAAGAAGAAAACCCCAAGCAAGGTGGGATATAATACAGTTGTTCAAACAATTTTGTTGTTGATAATGCATGACAAACTCAGCTTACACATATAAATTTACTCTGATGCACTCTATGTCTTTGTGTATATATATATATATATATATATATATATAATCATTTTAGAGCAGCTAAAAGATACATACATACATATTGTTCATGTGTTTATATATAATCATTTTCAATAAAAAAATACATGTACACACTACACACACACACACGTTATATATAAGATATGTTCTGAAGTCAGAGGGGTGTTGAATGTTAAAAATAAAAACCTATACTGATATAAATAATTGAACGCTTTTCAATTGATACTTCAAACCAGGGGTCACCAAACTTTTTTCACAGAGGGCCAGATAACTGAGAGATTGACGAGCACATGCCAGATAACCATTTTGTTCAATATAATATACTGAATACACAAAAAATAAAGACAACAAACATATTTATTTACCAAAAATTTATCAAAGAAGACAACATTAACAATAAAATAGTTATATCACACCCAGTGCTGAATCTCACAAACTAAGCAGCAAAAACAGTTTAGTGAGATTTGTGAAATTTTAGGAATCCTAAAGAAGATGAAACGGGACTAAACACCTAAATTCAACTTAATTTTAATAATTATCTGGATGGTTTCGGCTCTCGTTTTTGAAACATGAGAACTCTTATGTAGCGAAGGAATCATATTTTTAAATAAAAAAATATTATAATTAAGCTCTACTTCTGTATGGAGCACTGTCTTCTTAAAAATAAAAACAAAAATACTAAGGAACTCCGGATTATGCACCCAACGTGTTCTTTTCTATTTTCTGCATACCTGCGCACTTAAAACCTCTAGGTCTGTTTTGTTGCATATTTATCACTGGAATCAGGAATCAGTTTTTAAAGCAAAGTAAAGAACACACAATTTTCCTACCCTTCTTCCGCTTGTCCATGTATCAGATTAGTTTACTAAATATCTAGAGAAATTATATTATTTTTCGATAAAATAATTTCCTTTAAAAGCAAATTACGGCCCTTTTAAGACTAAGGGACGTAACTTTTTTTTGTAGTGACCTGGTCATAAGTCTGCTGGAGTAGAAAAAATTGTTTTGCTTGTTTCATGATTCCTTGGCTCCCCACGTTTCACCATATTTTATTAGGAAAGACTGGAAGCATTTAATTTATTAATCCAGGGCTACATTGTCGCTTTCATGGAACCAACTAAATTGGTTTAGCTTGTTTATGGCTCGCCTTCTTCGATCACTAAAGCTATTTAATTTCTTGAACGTAGATTCCTAAAATATTTCCATTCTATTGATAATTTTATTTTTTATTGCTAAAATATTTTTAAGTGAATGGTTGCAATTTATTTTAAACTTAACAAAGGAATTATTGTGGGGGCTAAAAAAAGGACAAATGGGTAACACAACGTCCGGTAAACGTCATAATTCAGGAGATGACTCCGGTCCAACTATAACTGCAAATCGTCTTGGAGACAACTCACTGGAAGAAGGCGATTTCGACCCAAATGTGTTTAAGGTAAGAAGAGACAAAAACTTATATTTCTGTTTATTTTTTTATCAGTTTTGGACGATTTCGGGTATCAACTCTTGAAATTCAACATTTCCATTTATCGCTTGATTGTTTTTTTTAAATGATGACTTGTGAGCATAAAACTGAGTTCGATATTTTTAAGAGAAAAACAGAAACTCCATTTCTTATAATCCAAGGTCATCAATGCCCCAAAGTTGTTTTTCGATTAGATTTTTTGTTTCTTCCACAATCAAAATATTGCAAATTTATTATATCATAATAAAATATCTTCGCTGATGGTCACTGAAAGAGAGAGAGAGAGAGAAAAGAAACAACTACACATTTTTATTTCTTCAACTTAACACGCACCGACCCTGAAATTTTCCTATTTATTTTAAATTGAAAATAAAACTAAGTAAATTTTAAATTCATAAAATATGAAAACTACTAACAGCATTTAATTTTAATATTCCAGGTTTCCATCCATTTTTATTTTTTTATCATTAAAATAAAATTAAAAAGTACTTTTCAATTTTTTTTCTTTTTTCGAATCTCAAATGAATTAGACTCTCTAAACTATTCTTTAATTTCTTTCCAATTGATGCTTTAAAAATTTGACTGCTATAAGAGTTTAAAAAATGGTCAATAAGTTATTTTATCCTTATTTTTTTTAAATATAATTTACTCAGACAAAAAACAAAGGTGTTTTTTTTTTTTTGTGGGGAGGGGTTGCAATCAGTAAATATGTTTTTGAAGAGAAGTGTATATTGTCTCCGTAATTTAGGCCATCATAAAATTTATGAATCTATATAACATTTTGCCTAGGTTTTTTAATTTCAAAAGAAATTCAGGAAATAAAGTAAAATAAAAACTTAATCACATGCTAAGTTTGTGTTTTTTTTTTGTTTTTTTTTTAATTTGATTTGTATCTGTACATAATTATGCATTTTTTCAAAAATTGACAATTAAGTTTATTTTACTTATTTTGTTATTTTTACCCAGTTTTACTATACTAGCTTTTATTTGTTTTTATTTTATTAGTTTTAAAAGAAATGTTGCTAGTTTCCGCCCACTTATCAGTTACCGCTCACTTTATTTTGCATGAATTACGTTAAATTTCACAAGTCAGTAGTTACTTTCATCAAATAATCACTCCTTCATTTCCCTTTCTATGAACTGAACTACTTGATATAAAATTGTGCCTTTTATCACTGATCATCTAGTTTATTGCTTAAGTTTTTAAATTTTGAAAGTCGTGCTTAACGCTTTCATTACGATACACGCACAAAAAATCAGTCTGCTAGTTAACTTAAAGTTGTGCAAAATTTGAAAACATTGATTTAAAAATGCAATAAATACTTAATTTCTAAAAAGAAAAAAATGTAAACAATGAATAAAAAAACAAATTAAAGAAGAATCATCGGTGGTTTCATTCCCGTGATCCCAGAGTGGTAGCAAGGAAACGTACGTAATGAACAAGCCAAAATATATACAAGTGGGTGGTGAACGGCAATCAGCAATTTTATTTTTGTTTCAGTGTGCGAACAACTTTTTTTCTATACTGGTTGGGTGGCAGTTTTTGTTAGATGGCATCATAAACAATAATCACTTGTTTTAGGATCCCGAAAAAATTTTTTTTTTTTTTTTTTTTTAAGGCCTTCGTCTTAAAAAAATAGTTTTAAAGGGTAGAGGAATGTCGCCTCCAGTGATCTGTAAAAAAAAAAAAAAAAATAAATAAATAAATGAAGCGATGCTAAGAATTTCAACACAACATCAATGTTCAATTAGGCTACCTTACGTTGAAATGCTTCACCTGCTGAGTGAAAATACTACAACTTTTCATTATTTGAGAAATAAACAAAAAAATTATTAAAAAAATCTCTATCATTTGTTGGATGGTGTTGTAAAAATATAAATGTTAAGGTTGTTTAAGATTGAAATGGTATCTTCACTGCTAAAAATAAATGAATAAATAAGCGGAGTTAGGGAAGGGACTGGAGAAATAATAATTTGAGTCTGGAAAAATGAAAAAAGTCTGCACAACCAGATACTTATTGTTTTAAAAATATTTGTTGTAGAAGACAGCTGTTCTTTGTTTATTTTTTCGGGTTTCTCTGAGGTGAAGAATGTGTAGACCTCCGAAAAAGTAAGGTGTCTTGGGAGGTGATTGCGAGAAAATCAGGTCATTGTAAAAGTGGGGCAATTGTTCCCCGACTCTGTCTTGTTGTTTCATGGCTACTAGTTTTGATCTTAAATCAAAATAAGTTCTCTTGTACTATCACATTGCTAACTTCTTTTTATCTTGATTGGGCTTTCATCACAATCTGCAGAGAGGAGTAGATGCGATAGGCAACAATAAACTACAGAAGAACTCAAAATTGATCGCTGCACTTAAACATCGCTAAAAAAGAGCATAGTCTGACGAAAAAGACGCCAAACTTTATGAAAACAAAATTTTATCGTCTAAACGCTTATGTTTTTATTACGAGAAAAGACCAAAGTTTTTTTTATTTATTTTTAAAATTTTTTCCTTCTTTTTAGAACATTCTACATTTTGATTAAAAAAAAACCTTGTTTCTCTTTTTTGTACCAGACTATTTTTAGCACGTTTTTTTTTTGTATTACACACATTAATTTGGAAAATCTTGCAAAAATAAAAATAATTGTCGGATGTTGATGAAACTTTCAGAAACTATTCACAGATGATCGAAATTATTATAAATGATTTTTTTTTTTTTTTTTTATTAAAGTCATGGCAGAAATGTTTTTTTTATATTTATTAACACCTCCATAACTAATTTTATGAAAAAAAAACTCTAGAAATTCGATCGCATCAACTTTAGTGACAATAAGCACAAGGCTTTGAAGAATGCAAATCATGTTTTTTTTTTTGTTTTTTTTTTTAATTGGATCCGCAGTAACTGAAAATCAGCTCTGAATTGTAACATACAAAACTCAATAAAACAAATTTAATTTCAAATGCTTTTATTTGCTTTTAGTTGTTTTTATGAATATGGACAATATTTTCTGAAAGCAAAAAATTTTTTCAATGAAAATTGAATTTTTAATACAATAATTTGTTATTTCTTTAATTATAATAGATTTTTACATTAAGTTTTTTAAAAATATTATAAAATTAGTTAAAAAAAAAGCCACATCAATTTTTCTAAGTGTCCTTATGAGATTGTCATTGTCTAGCGCTTTGAAAATTGTATCATTTGGACCAATCAGAAGATCCGCAGTAATTAAGAAATGTAATTTTGGGTTTATAATCAGGCGGTAATTATAAAGTATGGAAGACCAACCAGAATACAATTAAGTTGCATTATTTGAGTTCAGCATTGTTCTCTGCTTAAGAGAAGGGTTAATTTGATTTTTCTATAAGTATCAGTATCATCTTATGAAATTTAACTACTGCTAAATCTTTAATTTATATGATCTTTTTCCATTTTTCAAAATTATTAAAAAAAAATAAAATAACCTATAAATTAATTAATTATAGTATTTTTCTTATGAAATTTAATCTCACTCTTAACAGTCTTATTTTTTTATCTTTTATAATATATTTTCCATAAAGCATCGTAAATGTAAAGATGAAAGCTAAGTACAAAAAAAAAAATTAAAAAATTAGAGCGCTGAAAGTTTTCCTTAAAAGTAATGAGGTAAATAATTTGTTCACTTAAATCTAAATAATTTTACTTCCTTCCATCTGTAGAAAGAATTATCCTCCTGTAAGTTATCTAAACTTCAGGAAAATGTCTTTCATCACCTGTCAAGTGATGCGAAAGTTTTGCTTTGTTTTATTTTCAAATTACATTTTTTTGGCGCAGAAGCTAAGCTAAGTTAAGCTTGGTCCAAAATATTTTAAATAAACATAATTTCTGATTCTATTAAAATAAGTTTTGAAAAATGATAATTGATTTTTAAAAGAATATCAAAGTAAGATTTTCATATTTTTTATAAAATGGAAAAAAATGATTGAAAATGATGGAATATCTGTCCTTTTTGTTTTGTTTTTTTTTTTTTTTTTTTTTTTTAAAAAAAAAAATATTTTTAACGAAAATTTCGGACGTACTAGGAACGATTAAAAAAATGTAAAAAAATACCCCCAAAATACTTTGATCTTTCCTCTTTAATAATAATATAAACATTAGACGATAAAATTTTGTTTTCGTCAAGTTCGGCGTCTTTTCATCATGCTATGCTCTTTTTGTTTACATTTCGTAGAGGTACCTACATTAATATTTAAGCTTACCTTTTAGTTTTAAAAGTTCAATGATAATTCTCTTAAAGACAGTTTGATGTATGTCAGTCCTTACTTTCAGTACAAACAATTATTTTTATTTCATGGATGACTTTCATTGGATTATGCAATTAATTTCAATTATTCCCAAAAGTATTTCCAAGTTATAAAAATTCTTATCATAAAAAATTTTGTTGCTAAAAATCACATAAAAAATCGCCGAAACAACAATTGCAGTAATGAAAACTTGGGATTGCTGGTTCGGATCCGGCCTGGAATGTTTTTGATTTGCTACAGAGTCAGCCTGATTTCGAAATGGTATATGTTGTGCTATGGCCTATAGGAGTTGAAAATATGGACAATTTTATTTTGAAACACTGTAATTTGAGAACAGTAAATTTTTCATTTAAAAACAAGCTATTGAAAGTTAGAGAGTTGTGTCCCTTTAATTGTTTTTATCGGTAGACACCAAGATGGTGGAATCTGAAAACAATTGCAGTAATGAAAACTAGGGAATCCAAAATTTCAGGATTATAGGTCTGGATCTGGCCTGGAATGTTTTTAATTTACTCATGGTGTCTTACTGATTCCAAAATGGTATGATATGCTGGACTCCGACCTCTAGGAGTAAAGTTGAAAAATTATGACGCACTTACATTTTCATTTATTATATAGATTAAAAGAATGCTAACACACAGCAGTATTGCTATTCTAAATGACCAACCAAATGTGTTGTAATATTGTGAACAGACTAATCAATAATACAGAAAACACATAATTCTTGATTTTTGTTACACTTACTTCTTAGTAAACTTTGGTAATGGTAAATTTCTTAATGCTTGTGACATTTATAAAAGTCTTCTTTATTTTAATTAATAGATTTGTGTGGATCTGTAACTGTGGTTTGATGTGATTTTGCTTATTAATCTTAGCTTGGCACATGGCTAGCGTAATGGGGTACCCAGTGAGAACTGATCTCTCTGTACTAGAACTAGTAATGTTCTTGCTAATCATTGCTCTATGGCAGTCATCCAAATAGCTTATTGTTTCATGACAAGTGTTCATGGCAATTTGGGCTAGTCAAGCAGAAGGCCACAATGTTGGGGTACTTCTTCAACAATGGATTGTAAGGCTAGCATGTAAATTATTGTTTTATTGTGGTAGGCATCCAATATAAACTTGTTACTCCTTAATTACTAAGTTGGCATAAAGCTAACACTGTAGTTTACTCATTTAGGATTGAACTCCCTAACACTAGAATTTCAAATTAGCTTGTGAACAAATTTAACTTCATCTGACAGTCAAAATACTCAAATGATGATAACTCCCTATGAACTTACTAATTCTACCTTATGGCACATGACAAGACTGCTTTTTCTTAAAATTAATTTATGTTTTGTTGGAGGTTTTTTTTGTTTTTTTTTTTTTTTAGTGTCTTCTCAAGTCCTATTTTGAGAGCTGATATAAATTAAAATTATATTCTGTGTTTATTATCTTAGATTGACTCCAAAAAATATACACAAACAAAAATAAATTAAACTGTGGATTTGGCTTGAATTGAATTAGAAAGCAAAAACCTTTATTTACAAATAGGCTCAATGCTTAATAATTGAAAAATATAACACATTGTACAAAATATGACTTTGTGCACCTAGAAAAGATTGGAAACTTTTCAAAATAAGTCTTTTGTAAGTTAAGTTAATAAATTTGGAGTGTGCAAAAAGTCCTGTTTTAAAAAGTTCAAATAAATGATGAGGATTCTTGGAATGGTGAAGGTGTTCAATTAATAAAGATATACTGAATATAGACATGAGCAGTTGAAAGGTGTTTGTTGATAATAGGTTCATCAAAATGTGTTGAACTAATGAGTCAAAACCCGGGCAGCAGTAAGTAAGTCAAATTTTAGTAAATTGGGAAGAAATATAGTGTTCTTTGTTTTTTATTCTGTTTTTTTTCATGAGGCTGTTTTTATTTTTATTTACTTTTTCTTTTAGAATTTAAACACCTACCTTCATGTTAAAAATGCGTTTCTGTAATATTTTAATGTAAACTAAAAATAAGTAATATTTGTTTCAAATCAGATTAATTAAACTTTAAATCAGCTAATATTCCACAAATAAAGTTTCAGAATAAGATATTTTATTTTCTCAAATTTTTTTTAATAAAGAGAATTAGATGGTTAAAAATGGCACTAAAATTTTTTTACAAAACAAAAACTCCTTCCAGTCAATTAGTTTTGAAATACAGCAAAGTATTTTGCTTATTGGAAATATTAAATTTAATATATCAGCTTGAAATTAAAACTAAAATAAAAGCTTCAAGAGTTTTCATTTTCAAAAATTCATTTTAAACCTTAGTCATCGCATTTCTGTTGGTATCTATATATTGGAATCTGACAGAATGCTAAAGAACAAATAGAAAACATTTAAATGTTTCATATTTGTTCTTTATCCTACCTATTAGAGAAAGACTGGCAACAATTTTTTCTTTGTTGTTCTTTAATTATGTATAATAATAATTGGGTTTTTTTGAAAACAATTCACTTGTTGGTTATAAAAAATAATCTTTGAAGAAAGGAAGTGGGCCTGCATTTACTTTATAGCCTTTTCTTAGCTGGTGCACTCTGCAAGCCTTCTTATATTCCATTAATTATTCAAATAAGTATACTTATGTTTGTTGTTTTGGCCGATACGTTCTCCAACCTTCCTTGTTAGGGCTCTGTTGCATCTAGTAGTTTTATATTTGTTTAGTTTTTTTTTTTTTTTTTAATAACTTTTGCCTCTTTTCTGTGTATGATAAAACAGTTGTGGGCAAGCCTTTGAGATGTCTGGAAATAAATTTGTATATAATTCAATTAATATTTCTGATAAAAGAGAATAGTTTGTCAGATGCTAAACGAATCTTTTTCTTTTCAGCGAGGTAGTAGAGAGCTTCCTGTGGATCACTATCAAAGACCTCGCTCAAACACTGTCACCCATAGTCCTGTACAAGCAGAAAAACGATTACCTACAGTTTTCCGATGGGAAGGCATTGCCAAAGAAGTTTGTTTATCTGGAAGCTTTAACAACTGGAAAACAAAAATTCCATTGGCTAAAAGGTAGGAAAGGCAAAGTTTGTTAATTCTTCCTTCAATGCATCAAAAGTTTGGAGATTTGATGTGTGCTGATTCTTTCTTTTTGCTTTGTTTTTTAGTTCTTGAAATTTTTTTTGATCTGAGATTTTTTACAATTGCTTCTATCATTTTCTCAACTGAATGCAATAGTTTGTAAATGTTTTTGTGTGCAATTCCTGCGAATAAACCATGCCACTTTGTTTTATTTTGCATTTTCTTACAGCAAAATTTAATGATTTGTGAGCTTTTTATACAGAATTATTCATTTTAATTTAATGATTTACAGCTAATTTTTCATCTTTTGTTACATCGATGTAAAAATATAATTAATACCATATATACTTGTGTACAGTGACTTGTATCTTGAATATTTGGACCCTTAGATAATATTATTTTTTTGATTTACCATTAGAAATTGTTATATAGAACTATTTATGCTTTATTTTGATAATTAAAATTGAATTTATTCAATTATAAAAAAATGTTATGTATCCACAGAACCATATTTTTATCTCATGCCATATAGCATGATTATGCATCATGGTGGTGGTGTTTTTTTTTTTTTTTGTTGTTTTTTTTCTGAAAAACGGTCTAAACATATGACACTAAGCCATGTGCTATTGCTATTTCTATTTTTGACCTGCAAGATCAACAAATGTATAAGTTGGGTGGTTAATTACCTTGAGAAAAGAATTTTAGGGTGCATAATTCTTAACTAATGTTAGAAACATTCTTGTTTTTCCTATTGTTCATATTCATACATTCTCACAAGAATGTCTGTCTTTTTATTTAATTATATAGACAAAATATATTCCTCATTAGAATAACAAGGATTGTTCTTGAGCTGTTTAAAGATTGTTCTCATCATTTTGGAATTTCTCTGGTTTTTAACTTTACCATTACTTCTACTGATTCAATCTTCCCTTAAATTAAAGGTTTTTATGCATTTGTTTTATCATTTTTATATTGATTTGTTTTTAAAAATTTTGAAAAATAGTTTTTTGCATAAGGTAAAATAGTTTGTCATGATCTTGTATCAAAAGCATATCAAAATGACAAAAGAATTCATGTTCTTTCAATTTATTTTTGTCAAATAAAAACTCTTAATATTCTATAATCTCTTCTGTGAAACATGAAAATTTTTATTGAATTAACACTTTTTTTTCTTTGTTGTGGAATTTTTCGTTTTTATGTTTTTATGTGAGTTACTTTATACATTTTTTATTATACAAATCTTAAATATGATAGTGAATTTAGTCATTTTTACTTAATCTATGTCTGTCTATATCTCTAACTTTTAATTTGCAAACTTTCTACAAATATATAAATGTGCATTTATTTGTTAACATGTCTATTGTAGATTATTGCTATTGTAAGTTTGATCCACATGGATACTCTTGTGCCAGACTAAACTTAATAAATACATATGATAGCAACTACTGTTGATTAGTTATTTTTAACAATTAATTTTATTGAATTTCCCATAAATTGTTATGGGTAATTCAATAAAATTAAATCTTTATCTTTCAGTCAAAAGCTGAAATTGAACCTAAAAGTCCATTTTAGTTTCAGTGACTCTTTCATGAACAAAACATATGAACTCAAGCCAACAGATTTCTGTATAAATTGACTGGCATTACTGATATTACCAAGATTTTTATTATTAAAAAAAATAAAAAAAATGATAATTCTTTTGCACAGAATATTAAAAAAAACTTATTCAATGTATTTTCTATTATTTATTTATTATACTTGTCACTGAAATTGAACAGCAGTCCCAAGGTGCACCAACTCACATGCACACGCACAAAAAAATACTATAAAAAAGAAATGTAAATAATGTTTAAAATACATTGAAATTTGGCAGTGCTTATTTTATGCAGGTCCCAAGGATAAAATCTGTCACTCTATCACTTTGTCCTAGAACTAATAGAACTAAAACATCAGGCTGACAGTAACAATTCAAACAAGTGGTACCCAGGATTCATGCTGTTTTTCATTATGTATTCTGCTTTGCTGTGACAATAAGAATTAGAAATATCAACTAAGGAGGGCAGTGAGCAGCCAATTATTTTCTGGGCTATATCTATGAAGGCCTCTTTTGTATTTGTCACATAGTCTTTGTCTATGAAGGCCTCTTTTGTCTGCTGCTCAGAAGCTGGTATACCAAATAGTGATTTTTTTTTTTTTTTTTTTTTAATTCTATTGAATTATATATTTAAGATAACTGACTGTATTAATTACTGTATGAATTATGAGAGATGCATTTATGAAATAAATGATTATTTTCTCAGGCTTACGGCCATATCACATTGAAACACTAGTTCTTGTATAATTACCAAAGTTAAGTAATGTTGACCCTGGTCAGTACCTAGATAGGAATACCAGGTTCTAAACTTGGATGAGCAGGTGGTATAATGGATAACTGTTCAAACTGGAAATTGGGGAGCCAAGTTCCAATTCCAATTGGGTTATATTCACTTACACACAAATATCCTTGGGAATGGCATGAATCCACTTCTCCTCTCAGCCATAGGTTAATTAGTAGGACTTGTGTCACTAAAACCATTTATTATCTCAAAAAATATTCTTACAATCTGAAAATATTCTCTGTCTTTAAATGACCTGCAAAAAGTTGATAAGATGTATAATAAAAAAAAAAAAAATCAATCCATCAATCATTAGTTTTCCCCTGAGGCAATATATAGTTCTGATAGTATATCCTGATTACTGTGACTAAGGATCAGCCAAATCTGATCTACCAAACATTATGAATGCTACTGTTATTCTGAAATAATAATTATTTTATTAAAGCCTCCACTTTAGATTTAGAATTACAAATAATTGAACTGCCATCTAGTGTTATTCTTCAATGTGTTAAACCAGTTTCAGGATGTAGGAAAATCATCATCATATTTTTCTTGTTTAATGTTTAGCACTTAGTAAGGTTTGTGTTTTTTCTGTTGTTCCTAATCCCTGTTCTACCAATCATTTACACAAGCTCGTGAGGTAGGTTATTCACTGTTCTAAAATATCTTGACTTCATTATGTCCTGAGAGTTAAATTCTCTAAGCCCTCTTTCTTCATAATGTGTACTAGAAGTTCCAATTATCTCTTTCTGATTCTAAGTGTCCTTTTGTTTCCAATTTGCTTAAAAAAAAAAAGAATTGCTCACATGTTCAGTCCATAGTATTCTCAGCATTGTTCTGTAGAATCACATTTTTGTTACTTTTCATATGTGGCTTATTAAACTGATTGTCTAATGGAGCTTTTATTCCTTTTTTTCCTGACTTTTTTGACTAGGGGAAAGAAAATATTGAAAATTAATCTACTTCAGTCTTCCAGTATATCACCATTATCATATATTTCATCTTACTTATTATAAAACGCAGATTGTGTGTGTGTGTGTGTAGATAAACGTTTATATGTTGGATCGAATTTCCTACATTTTTTTTTGATATTTCAACAAAACTTCACAGGACTACATAAAATTACCTTTCTTATTGGTGGTTCTAATGGGGCGAAAATGGGAAAAAAACAGTTGTTTTTTAATAAAATCAATTTGAAAACACGATTAAGACACATCGTGAGAATGAAAAGGGGACAACTCACCCACGAAAAATGTAAACAAAAAGAGCATAGCATGATGAAAAAAATTTCCAAAAACTTGACGAAAAAAAAATTTTATCGTCTAATGTTCATATTATTATTAAAGAGGAAAGATCAAAGTATTTTGGGGGATATTTTTTTTTTTTTTTTTAATCGTTCCTAGCACGTCTGAAATTTTCGTTAAAAATTTTTTTTTTTTTTTTTTTTTTGGATTTTAAAAATCTAATCATTTTCAATCATTTTTTTCGATTTGATAAAAATGATTAAAATCTTACTTTGATATTCTTTTAAAAATCAATTATCATTTTTTCAAAACTGATTTTAATAAAAACAGAAATTATACTGTTTATTTAAAATATTTTGAACCAAAACTTAACTTAGCTTCTTTCAAGAAAAAAAATGTAATTTGAAAATAAAACAAAGCAGGTCATAACCTTTCGCGTCAAAACGATTGACGAAAGGCAAAATTCATGACGTTTAGATAACTTACAGGAGGAGAATTTTTCTACGGATGGAAGGAAGTGAAATTATTTAAGTGAACAAATTATTTACCTTGTTACTTTTAAGGAAAACTTTCAAATCTAATTTTTTTTTTTTTTTTTTTTTTTTTTTGTACTTAGCTTTCATTTTTAAGTTTATTTATGCTTTATGGAAAATATAAAAGAAATTAAAAAATAAAACTGTTTAAGTGAGATTAAATTTCATAAGAAAAAAAATATCTAATTAATTTAGGTACCTTTCTTATGAAATTTTATCAGAAGTGTATATAAAATACTATAATTTTATGTACATTTATTACATTTTACTGTGTTATTTGTATTTCCATTCATTTTATTATTAATTTTGATATTTCATTTATGGAAAAATGTCATAACTGAGATTAATATAAAAATAAGATCATATAAATTAAAGTTTAGCAGTAGTTAAATTTCATAAGATGATACTGTTACTTGTAGGTACCCTTCTCAGTTGAAATTGAAAACTCAAATTAACTTCTCCATACGTGTTTTAGAAAAAAGTAAAGGGCTTAACAGCAGAGAACAATGCTGAACTCAAATAATGCAACTAAATTGTTTTCTGGTTGGTCTTCCGTACTTTGATAATTACTGTCCGACTATAAACACAAAATTACATTTCTTAATTACCATGGCTAATCTGATTGGTCCAAATTATACAATTTTCAAAGCGCTAGACAATGACAATCTCACATGGACATTTTGAAAGGTTGATGTTGCTTTTAACTAATGTTAAAATAATTTTAAAATTCAATTTAAAAATTTTTTAAAAATTTTTTAAAATTAAAGAAATAAGAAATAATTGTATTAAAAATTCAATTTTCATTGAAAAAAATTTTTTGCTTTCAGAAAATATTGTCC